AAAGCAAGCTTTCGTTGCTTCGATGCGTTAAGTCTTGTGCGGATAATTGCTATTTGTAAAATTTTCCCGATCTTCCGTGATATAATTAGTATGATTTATTGGCGTACAATATGTGTATGACACATGAAGGGAATTTTATTAGCTTATTAATATTCCTTGATACCATATCAGATATTTCTGTAATGATTCTACAAACGAGGACTGACTTATTCTATACGGATCTGCACATATCATCTGCAAAAAAACAACACTTTTTCATATGATTCATTGTGATCATTATTGTAAGATAACCTATAACCATGGTCCTCGTAGGATAACCTACAAAATACACCCCGGTGATCTACAATTGAAATCAATAAATCACATGACTGAAAAGATGTTGCATAAAATCTGTGTGCCATTAACATTTTTAGGACTGGGGGTAATGGTTATTCTCTATTCCTCAAGCCCAAGTTGTGAGTGTGCAACAGAGACACTAATGTTTACAACCGTATCCTTGTCAAAACGAAATCTCTTCTTAAATTCTTGTTGCCTATGCATTTCCAAAGGATATTCCATGTCTCTCAAATATCATTTTGGTATGGGCTCATCCATATTGATTTCAATAATTCCAAAAACTCAACAAAACCTTTGATGTTATTCCACGTTGAAAAATAAGGGCCCACTTAAGGGTCCAGATAAGCTTAGAATAAGTGAAAGCCTAAGCAAACACTTAAGTGACGACTCTGAATTGAAAATGCAAATACGTAAACACTTATGTGTTCCTCAAATTTAAGTGTCGACTATGAATACTGTTATCGAAAACTCTTTTTAAAGTTTCTTGAGATTAATGCATTACATACATAGATATTGTATCGTTTAATTCCTCATGGTCTTGGGAGGAGTTTTGTAGACATTTCTTTTAGCTGCTCCCCAGAAAAGAAATCGTGAGGTGTGATATCTGCTGATCTTGGCGGCCATAGACTTTTCGAAATTAGGCGGTTCCCGAACACGACCATTGGTTTCATATCATCCATGTACTTATTGCTCCAAACATATGTTGCACCAAAAATACACGTTCTTCCAGTATCAGTATTCTAGCAGGTTAAATCTGACTCACACCAACAACGTGTACGTAGTCAATCTGTGTTACTTGGATACGAAGAATACAATCTCGTATTTTTGAGTTCAACTATTGCTTGCTTGCAGCGAGCACGCTTCTGAGAATAACGTTCGAATTGCAACGCTCAGTCGTGCTGATTAAGCCGCGATGTTGCCGTTTCCGCATAAAGGATGGTGGAGTGGGCAGACGGCCACTGCGGAGGTACTTTTTGAACGCTTTGTATTATATTTTGCAAGTATGATTCCCATTATAATGTAAAATATATTGCAACTAATTATATTTAAAGCCAAGGGTACACCGAGAAAAAAGCGAAACTGTTATCTTCACTGAATATTCACTGTTATATTCAATGATATTAGAATAATTTCACTTTCTGTTTTTATAAAGGCAAATGTGTTGTTTTAATCATAATATCAGTATCATTATCACAAAAGTTTTTTTTTTTTACAACATACCAATTTTCATTACTAATGTATAATACTCCAAGAAATGCATAGAACTGTTGAGGCCATTTTGAACGTGTACGTAATTTTAAATGTTTTTTTATTTTCTAACTACAGCTCAGCAATCAAAAAATCTGAAAAAAAAATCACGATGTGTTTAAAGAAGAACTTTTCAGATTTCTTTCAAGCCTGTTTCAGGTTTTAAGAAAGTACAAATTATTCTTTGTTATTTAAAAAAAAAACTTTGCGTTGAAACTTGGCGCTGAGAAAATATCGAAAAAAGTGTCTCTGAAAGTAAAAATTATTTTATTTTTGATTTTCTTTCAATCACATAAAATAGTTTTAAGTTGTTAAAAAATATAATAAAAGACACGTTTCTGGTTGTAGAGGAGTGGGGGCTTAGAAATCTTTCAAAAAATTACGCTTATGTTAGAATTATAGTGTAATTACTAAAATGCCATTTGGTTTAGGGAAACTTTTTACCATCTTATGCGGGGATAATCTATGCCACTCCCCAATAAAAGATACGAAATCCCTCCTCTGATAAAGGGGTATATTGGGGGTCTATTGGTGAATACAAACCGGCAGTTAATACGTATAATCAAGGTTCCAATTAATAAAAAAAAATATTAAATGGACTTGATAATAGTTATCGGAAAGTGACACAACAAATAATAATCATAATACGTTAAAAATTCGCTCATCTTCTTTCGTATTCATTGTTCATTCATAGGATCAGGGGCGTAGCTAGGCTAGTGCAATCAGTGAACCACGGCGGTCCCCTACGTTAAAAGGTATAACTACTATTACATTAAATGAAACATGTAGCAAATTAATTTTCATGCAGGTGTAAAGGAAATCCATTACCTTTGCGGTATCGTTACTGGTAGAACTCTGCTAGTAACCTCAAAGCCACATCAATGCGATATTAGTTTTTAACAAAAAGTATTACTATTAGCAAACAATCAAGATATCCTCATGATTTTTCGTGCCTCTGAATTTCACGACCTAAATTTTTAACATTAGTGAAAACAGAACACGACCGAACATCCTTCGAAATTGAAAACAGAACTCATGGAAAGCACAGAATTTGTCTCTGTGCGTAATCTGTTAACCAGAATGATCATACCATGTCATGGAAAACATCAGCTTCCCTCCCTTGCTAGTGCCACATAAAAGCTCTAATGGTGGCAAAGTCGGACGTCCTTTCCGTGTCACAGCAATCTGTTCTTGTACACTGACATTTCTAAATTGCCCAACATATAAAAAATCATTCCTGCTCATTTTTACACCATTAAAAAAACGAATTCTAGGAAATAAACTCGGACCAGTGTGAAGGGAGCGCAAGAATACACTTTCTCTAGTAAGCATTCTTCACTAATTGAATATCAAAATGCTTTGTTTAACCAACCTAGGCTAATAATGTCGGAAAAATTGACAGAAATAACCTCAAAAAATGTGGCCGGGGCGGAATCGACCCCTCCCACAGTACATTTCAAAAATTGATTGAAAATTTGCTCAGAAATGTAGTTATTGTTTTACACTGTGCATGCCCATGATGAAAGGCCTGATACTTGATCCTATTTAAACAGTAAGCCTGAAAAGCAAATGATCCTTTCAGATTTTCCTGAGCATTCCATTTCTTTCTTAGTCTTCCTATATCTCCCTGCTCTTTGTATACACGAGCAGCCTCTGTGAATCATCCTTCTTTCAATTCTTCAGCCACATTATCTTTTTTTTTTTCTTCCTCTGTTATGTCACAACTATTTTTACATTTGTTTCTCAGTTGATTGTCTAGTAAAGCTTTTCAACAAGAAATTGATTATTTTGAGAATCTTACCCTAATTATAATTCACCTTAAAAATTAATAATATTTGGTATAAAATTAATCTAATTTCCATTTTCTTAAATGACCTTAAGCCCAATTTCATTTAAAGCTTTTGCAGATAACTTGAAAATATATCTTAATGTGAAAATAACTGAAGATAACAAAACTTTTACAACAAAAACCTTTTTTCTTTGACACAATGGTTTTCTGAAAATAAATACCTTTAGAATGCAGTCGTGGCTCATGCTTACATTGCAGCGGCACAATCCCCATAAAATCAAAAAAATTCAAATGTTGTATGTATTATATAACTTAGGGATACACATATTCCATTTAATAACATTCAATATATTGTAGCAATCTTGATGTTCATGAAATAATTTTGAAACCAGAGCCCCTTGGAGCTCTCTCTCCACACCTTGTGTGCATTCAGGTAGTGCACCATGTCAATCTTGTAAGCTTTTACTGAGCATCACCTTCATCACATCATCCTTTGCCAATCACCAATTGCACATTTCAATTGGATTAGAGTTCAACTAGTATTTCAAAACCTATAGTCCCAGATCATCACGGATCACAATCTGCCATTCTATATCTTTTAATTACATTTGTAATAAAATATTAATATAATTTGTATAAAAAAAGCGGAGCTGTGGTTAATATACCCCGCTCAACTCTGAGCTGAAAGTATTTCAATATTTGTTAGAATTATCAGAATCATTGCAAATTATTTAAAAAAATACAACAACCACCAACTAACTTCCTTTGCAAAGCAAATTAAAAGCAGGAAATAAGATTTAAGACCTAAGTCGCATTATATTTTACATCCAATGATGGTAGGTGCATTTGTTGTTCGTTTAGATAACATTTTAATTTCTGCAGGATATTTTATTCTTGTCTGCTTCAATGCAGAATACTTCTGAAGTAGTAAAGAATAAATTGTTCTATCGAGTATTCAAGCTTAATAATGCACACTTAGTCCTAGCATGCCTTTTGATTCATTTTAAATTTGATAAACTAATCCCTCTGCTAGGTTTGAAATAACTCGTAATATATGTTATTTTGACCTGCAAACAATAACGATTGCAGGGATAGGTGCAACATTACAATAAACCAATTTCACACATCCAAAATCAAAATATTGTAATTGCCCCCCCCCATTAACATTATCATCTAAAATTTCAAATGCCATAATTTATTTAAAGATTATGAAAAATGAACTTTAGTTTAAAATTTAAAAGTTACTTGAAACCATGAAGCCAGCACAAAACTGAAAATAATCCTTGTGTTGGAACTGCTGTATTTTCTTTGCATTGTTTTAGGTAATAAAATTAAATAAGTATGTAGTGATCAATTACCACTCAATTCTAAGCATATTAACACAAGCGTAAAATAATTCCTCTTATGATCTATAAATTTGTGATCAAATTAAATATGCATGATGAAATTACTTCTTCACTGAAATATCCAGGGCTCATAATAGTTTGTCCTGGAAAAAAAATAAAAGAGGAAATTATCTATTACATACAATACAAACAGAAGAGCCTTGTTTATATCTTCTGTACAAAAACAACATCAAGGAAATTTAGACAGGAATAAGGGGGAAGTTTTGCAACAAAACAAAAAATGTTGAGTTTAAAAAAATTACATTGTTTTAATGAACATAATTCATTTGACAGAACATTACGCACATTCAATGTTTATGTATAATAAAACGCCTTTTCAAGGCTAAGGCCATTCAAGTGTAAAGATTTATGAAAATATTCTCTATCCTTCTTACACACTCAAAAACAAATATATTTTACAACAACATTCACAACATTCATTCCTTTCATTTGTGCATTGGCATATTTGCACTGGCCAGTAAGCAGTTCCATAGGCGACACGCCTATTGTGCGCAAGGTATTCACTTAAAAACTTGACTAAAATACAATATATACTCGTGTGATATTAGTTTCATTAACATTAGCACCACCACCAGTCTATATTCTAGGAATGCGAAAATATGTTACCCATATTACACTAATACTTTTAACATACTAAAATCGCTATCCTTCATGGAATGTAAAACAAATTACCTAAATTAACTTTACATTCTTTTAAAGTGATATATTACAATCAAATTCATGATAGTAACTAATTCTAAAACCTTTACCCTCAGCTAGAGCTACAAATGTACATTCTTACACAACAGAACTTCCAATACTATATAGCAAATGCATTACAGTCAATACTAGAAATGCTAATAATTGGACCCTGAACAAATCACAGAAAACCTGTACTGCACTGATGTATAAAACAAAAAATAAAATAAAAAAGAAACCAGTGGCTTCACACTGGCACTCAAATATTTTAGTCAGAAGAAAAAGACTTCTAAAAATAAATTTCTCATTTGTAATTTTAACACCTTCATATAATTACAAAGTTTGAATAATTTCAAATTTTTTCTTAAAATCCATGCTGTCTTTCTTAGGGTCATACTTTTTACGAGATGCTAATTTAGCTCGCAACTCTTTTGCAGTCATACTTAGATTAATGCTGCTATTCACACCATTATCATTCCTGTTTTCAACTTCTTCCTTGTTGTTATCCGATGATTTCAATGGACTCTCAAAATTCTGGTGAGAATAAATCATACAAATAAATTAAAAATTGCATGCAGAAAGCGTTCTTTGTAACATGCAGACTGAAAAGCTACAATATATAGCGTATAATAACATTTATACAAACAACATCAATGTAGGAATAATTTTACCTCATCAGCGGATTCCAATGGGGGTTCTGGACTGTAACCATCACTGTTCTTTCTATCGCTGGAAGGCGTTGTTGATGTGCTACTTCGAGAATTTTTATCAGCATTTACCTAAAACATTACACAAACTTACAAATATTTTAAAGTGATTTAATTTTACAAAGAAATTATTGTAGATATTAGAGTTTGAATATTTCATCTAATTATTGCTCCAGCAAGCTTTCAAAAATTATAAAAATAAATAATTTTTATTAAATACCTATATCAAAAACGTATTTCAACATAGGACAAAAATATCGTATATCCAGATAGCTAAAAAATAATTAGATATTTGGAAGAAGGTCTTCACTAAGTATCAAAAAGGAACCACCATTATCAAAGTTTGATTATCCAGGAATACGAATTTGAAAATGCAAAATACAACAAATAGTGATCCAGTTTCACAATTCATTTCTCCAAACTGTGGTGGTTTACACTTGTATACAATTTAACTTATTTCCTTCAAAACTACTAGGTTTTCGAACATTGTATCAGCAATGTTTCTTGTAAATAATGAGGGTCTCATTCCATTAACATTGAATTTTGTAACAAGATCAAATTTTGTTTGATCATTTTCCTTCTTCCTGTGTCTTAAAAATACCAATGTTAGGCTTGTTTGATTTATCATTTTGACACTAGCATCACTATTCTCAGTGTTGTTCATTTTCTCCCCACGTAGGTGAATTTGATCTTCTGGACCATTCATTCTTTATAGTTCTCATATTCACTCATCACACCTCAAGGAAGCCTCTAAAATGTGTATCTTATCAGTTCCTAGTAAAACAAATTACCACTAAAATTTGTCTATTGTACACACGTGCATTTTAAAATGAATAATACATATTACTGCTAATTATTTTTAGCTTTAAGTGCGTTTTAAAATTTGTGGTTGGATTGTGGGAACCACTTATTACTGTGTTTGGCAGGCTTAGAAATTTCCCATGTCAATCTTTCACTTTTCCACCTAATTCTCCAATAACAGTGAAATATGTTCCATCTAGAATTGCACATTTTGAGGACTTATCAATTGGCACACTTGTATTGTACACGGCGCAAATACAAGCTTTTAACCATTGTGCATAATCACCTTCCAGACAGGTAGTGAAGCATAATATGACAACATACTAATATAATGTCTGTGAAGTGGTCCCCAAAATCCCTTTATTGAAATCTCAAAGTGTTTCCAGAAATAAATTTTCTTTGGTTAACCAAAGGTTTGAGTTATCAAAAACCTTCTTTTAAATACTGCTGCAGGGAATGAAAAATTACTTTGAAATATCAAAAAATTATTTTATCGTAGTTCGTGTTTTTTAGGTTTGTCTGCATATTTAAATTTAAATTCTGAACAGCAGATCAATAAAGAGTATTTTTGTATTTTGAAAATACAAAATATCATCAGAAAATATTTTCAATACAAATATGAAATACATGCTCAAATTTATATTTTCAATACAAAATACAAACAAAAAAACACATGAAAATAAGCATTTTAAATAGAAGTGTTTTCGATACCGCCCAACTATTGGGAACCTAGTGGCTATTAAACTTGACTGTATTAAAATTTCATACATTTCCAAAGAAGGACAGCTGACAGCATATGCCAGAGCAGTCAGAACATAAATCAACTGAAAGTATTTTTAAGGCAAATTATGTGGATGGAAATTGTAATGAAAGTGACGTGTCTTAACCCCGAAACAGAATAAGTCACATTCATTAATACTCCCCATATCTAGCAGAAAGTCGACATTGTGGATCAAACTTAAATGTAAAATCACAGGAAAATAATATAATACTGTAGTTTAGTGAATATGAACTTTAACATTAAGGGCATTCATGAACAACATAATTTCATTCTCAAACCCTGAAAAATTCATGCCACTTAAATGACAGTAATTTTTAAATTAAAACCATTTTTTGCGCTTCGCGTTATTATTTTAACCTTATTGTAATGTCAACATGCATCATACTTAGACCTACTTCCAAAGTGGGAGTCTTCAGTCCACCATTGTCATCGTGTTCCGATTTCTTGCCATCAGCACTCAAATCCTCTTCAGGAACAGGTGTTTTAAGATATTTCACTTCCGGAAGCGAGCCATCTATTGTTATGTTATTCGCTTTGTAATACTTATCTGCTTCGGCATCCACAACAAGTAACTTCGTTTCATTGGGTACCGCCTTAATCCTCTGCACTACCTGCTTATGGTTTTCATTGGAAATATTAATTCCGTTTACTTCTATTATTTTATCGCCTTGTTTCAAACCAGCAGCTTCAGCAGGTGATCCTTCGTCTACTTTTCCAATAAATTGACCTGGTTTTCCTTTTTCTGCGTGTAAATTAAAGCCATATCCATCAAAATCTTTCCACTGAATAATATGACACAGTCGTGGATACGGCGTATCAGATGACAACCCGTTGCTCATTTTTTCTGCTTCAATTGAACACGATATTGCAAACTTCTCGGACACTTGTTCCGACTTTTTCTTCTAGGCACACAACTTATAATCCACTTCAACCTAAGACCCTCCTCCCACTAAACCTACCGAGTCTTCTATCTGCATATCTAATATGGCGTATATCACATGAGTTACACAAGCTTCTGTTACCAACGTACCAAAAACACCACCACTAAATCTTCTCGCAAAATTTAAAAAGTAATCATCACAATCTTTCAGTAAAACCCCTATGGATACTGTGTTTTGCAAATCTAAAGCAGAATACTTCAAAATGATATAGTATTTCCACGACTTTTCACATTCTTTTCTTCGTGCAGTTGGCATTACGAGTGGGCGGGTTTTATTTAATGATGAGTGGATGGATTGGTGGATCCTTCTCGGAGTATGGAAACAGATTTTAATGCATTACGCGACCTTGTGTTCGCCTGTGTTTGTGTCATGCCATGCCGTGTCATGTGCTACTGGTGGTGGGATTAACGACGGGGAGCGATGATGCACCTAACCTCCACCTTGAAGATATCCGTACTTTCTGGAGGCTTTCAAGCAAGTGAATTACCTTGAGTAATTTCACACAGCGGTAACAATAACCTTCCCGAGTTAATTAAAAACTGAGGTTATCCGTTTTCTTCCCCCTTGTCATTGTGTATTATGGGCAGCGTTTCGGAAGTATCATATTTGACATCGTTAATTGTAAGAAATATTGGAAAGATAGTTGTTAATTGCTACATCAAATTTAATCAATGACACTGACTCAAATGTAGAAATTATTTTCTAAGGCTGGAGGGGTTGCAGGCATAGCAGTTGATACCACTTTATTTCCATTGGATACAACGAGAACGAGGTTGCAGAGCCCTCAGGGATTTTTGAAAGCTGGAGGATTTCGAGGGTTGTATAATGGAATTGGGCCCGCCTTCTTAGGATCCGCCCCTACAGGTATATTGCCCTGTGTTGAGTAGATATAAGTGAAGATTTGTAGAAAAATGCACTCTACCAAACTGTAGTGCAAGACTGATTATTGTTTCAGCTGCTTTGTTTTTTTGTTCTTACGAAACTACCAAAAACAAGCTTAATTCATTATTTGGTCATGAAAGCCAAACCCTGGTTCACATGATAGCTGCTATTAATGCAGAAGTGGTAAATATAATAAGAGCATTATGCATATTATTAAAATTGGAATGTATGTAAGTGGAATTACTTCAATTAAGTTTAACATTTTCTAGGTCTCGTGTCTAGTGAAAGTTCCTACTGAAGTACTGAAACAGCGACAGCAAGTTGGGTTATACTCCAGATTATTTGAAGCATGCAGTATTATTTATAGAACAGAAGGATTAACTGGGTTTTACAGAGGTCTGGGCAGTACCATTGTAAGGGAAATACCATTTTCAGTGATACAGTTCCCATTATGGGAAATTTTCAAACAAAAAGTATCCTCTTCCAAAGGTGAAGCAATTACAGTGAAGGAGAAAGCATTGTGTGGAGCTATTGCTGGTACGCAATACTCCTTAATATAATAGATATTATTCTATGAACCACTCTATTAGTCACTTATTCTTTTAGGAGGAATTGCTGCTGGTTTAACCACTCCTATAGATGTAATGAAGACTAGAATAATGCTGACCCAAAGATCAACGTATCAGCAAAAACTACATAACGTACTAATGGATATATACATGACAAAAGGGATTAAAGGGTAACGAATATTTGTATGTGATAATATTACTCTTGTGATATTTATTTACTTGCAATTTGTTTTTAGGTTGTTTGCAGGAATCATTCCAAGGGTTCTGTGGATAACACTCGGCGGTGGAGTATTTTTTGGAAGTTATGAATTGTTTGTTGATTTGTGCAATACTGCTTTCAAGAAAACATGAAATAAGCTGTGCATTTTGTGCTCATATTATTAGTAAAATTATAGGACTAAAGGAGTGATAACTCTTCTAGAAGATGGGTGGGTGATCAGAAAGGAAAATGTTACGCATGGTGCTGTTCAACATGTGATATTACAACCTTGCCTTTATTAGTATAAAAATAAACAATTTTACAGAATGTTTTAACATTACTCATTTTTTTCCTTTTGCTTTTTGGCTTAACTTGGAAGACAAACTTCACGAATAAGCTTTTATGAAAGTTTCTAACAAGTTTGACAAGGAAAAACTCTGGTAACATAAATACTTTCACCAACAGACCAATACACTTAGACAACATCCAACCAATAGATGGACAGTTCACCATTACATACAGATTTAAAACTGTCCTCCAATCTCTCAGACCCTGTTTCAAAAGTTAATGCATTCTCCCTGTCCATTTTTTGGAGGGATGTTGGACCTAGTGGTAGTAATATAATCCAGTCTTGAAGGAAAAACCAACCAAGAACCAGTCAGGTGTCAGAAACACACATTAATAATAACACAAAAATCAACAATATAAATAGACTAATAGTAAAAATATGCGGCAAAATTTCAACCTATCAATGAATCAAATATTTATGCAACTGTTCCTAGATGCTTTTTCGAGGCACAATTTCATTGACACTCTTATACCTTGATGTTTTTGTAACTAAAGAGCCATTAATAGATGAACTTCTATTTGTAATGAAATATAAATCTGAAAAATTTTGTTGCCTCTTTTGAAGTTTCTCATAAAAGGATTTTTCCTTAACTTTTTACACAATAAATAACAAAAGAAAGAATATATATATATATATATTTGCGTACATCAGTGCCTTTTGACAAATCATATTCAATGATAAAGCTTTTTGTGTTAAATGATTTCTAGGCAGATACAAACATCAAAATATGCTGCCATTGCATTTTTCACGGTTATTGATTCCCATGTAATATACTTAGTGCAAACTGCTTCCACTGAATATAAAACTATCAATGACAAAAATGTCACCAAGTTAAAATAAATAACATTCATTTTGCAGTAACTACAGACAATTCATAGAAATGCAAATTCTACACAACTAAAGACTTGTTGGCGAGTCGCAAGAAGTATGCAGGCTCGCATAATATTAGCAACACAATAACTGCTAATAAGAAAGAGGTCTTTTCACAACACCTCGAAAATAAAAGGTGATTCATGAGGTACAATGAAAATAAACGAAATAAAAATTATTTATACTACAGGCACTTAGTCAGTCAATGGAAGTACAGCAAATTCCAAAAATATCCAGCAAAATTTGTTTCAACGGAAGTCTACAACAGATCATGCAGTTCAGGGCTTCAAAATTAATTCTACCGTATTTTAAAGTTCCTAAAATGTTACTGGGAAATCTTTATTTTTATGTGAGTCAGGAAACTTCATTTGCTGTGTAATAGTAAGTAAATTACAAGTGAAAGTGCTGTGCTGAATACCATTCACACACTATAGATTAATAAATTGCAATCCTTTCATGGTTTAAAACAATTACATTGTAACATGGGTTTTACTCCTTCACTAAAGTCTTGCAATAATGTGTATGAGAAAGCTGAACATTTTTGGAATATTTTAAATACATCAAGTCACTAATTCTATTAAAATTACAATTATCTATTCATCATCATAATGCAATTACTGCATTATGATATAAAAATCTAAAAAATGTAGACGTTGAGCTGGATTACAAAAGACTTTTCTTTACTTGGCTTTTAGCACTAGAATACCCGACCTGTCCTTTTGGGTACATTTGAGATTTTCATGTGCTGTTATAAGCTGAATTTTAAACGCTGAACCTAAAGAGTTGGGCTTCAGTGACCTTTTGATGGATAAATAATCTCAACAGATTTTACTTATCTGGACCATACAGTATTACGTACATTTTCCAATTTACTTAGAACGCCCAAACATACAATTTTTGGCACATCGTCTTTTGTGTTTAAAGACTGAATGGATGTTTGTACCCAAGCAGGATTTTGAGCAAGCAAACGAAATTAAACTTGAAACCAGATTCCATTCCTCTTGATAAAGAAAACAAAGTATGCTTTGCATTCCAGCACATAAAGCTTTTACAGAGAGTGGGGAACCATGGGACCACTAGCATTTGTGGGAGCATATTTGACTCTAGCTGAACAGCTCTTTCAACATGTGAATGGCATCCTAACTCCACTAAATGGCGTGCACAGTTATAACTGAATTTATTATGGACAGAAATGTTGACTAGCATTCAAAATATATGATAACAGCATTTCATTATGTGGGTAAGGATGATTTTTGGCCCTATTAAACATGACATAGTCACTATGTTGACATGAAATAAAATTCCCTTTAAACAAAGATTTAAATGTCACATACGACAATTTCTAGCCTCCGATGTGGGCTGTATTCTTGAGAATTTAAATAAAATAAGAATGGCAGCAAAAGAAATAAAGCCACCTAAAAAATTTCATTCAGGGCCACTACAACAATAGGGTTCTTATAATAGATCAAGGATAAGAAAATAAAAATATTTGAATTTTTTATATAATTTGTGTTTAGGAGAGGAGATACGAATAAACTGACAGAAAAACTCAGCTGCAGACCGTTGTGTTGTATAAATATTATTCATATAGAAGTGAAAAATAGAAAAGTATTTCTGCAAAAGTTTAGTTCAATATCATCTCTACTTCTAAGAAGAACAATTTGGTATAATGCAACACCCTTTACAAAAATGTTTAAAGGAGTAAAAGGCATGTTGTCTTACACTGAAGCTTCTGTACCCTTTTCCTATAGTTTTTGAATTTACAAAATTAAACATATCTATTAAAATTGTTCTTAATGCATGCAATAATTCATAGAATTCTTTCCCATCAAAAATTGTACATTCATTCAATAAATGATGCTATAATTAGTCCTGTGCCAATTTTGACACATTTAGGCGTTCTAGTTTGCAAGGAAAGTCTGGTTGTTCCAGTATTACTTCGTATTGCTAAAACATTCACCAAGTTGAAACTTAACCAATGCAGTCAAAATATGTTTAAAATCAATGATCATTAAATAATAGAAAGTGTTTATCTCTCAGGTGAAAAACTTCTGATAGACCGCACAAAAGATGTCCCTTCAGTGAAACTGTGTGAATGCTACAAAAAAATGAATAATCAATTAGAATCATCATTAGATCATTATTTGAAATTAATCAACAACACATTTAATCATTTAAACTGATATGAATGACTGATACAAAAATTCATAAAAACTAATAAGAAACATAAGGTATGACTTGAGAACATTTGTCAGAATATCGATACAAAGGTTTAGATTAATTGCTCTCGAAAGTTCCTATATATAATATGTTGGGTACATGGCATATGGATTTGAAATAAATGGTCATGGTGTTTGAAACTTAAGAAAAAAAATTAGAAATTAGGATCACATAAACACACACAAATTTTTATATATAATATATATTTTTTTTTTTTTTTTTTTTTGGTATATATATATATATATATATAATTATATATATATAATATATATATATATATAATATTATATATATATATATATAATATAATATATATATATAATAGATAGATAATAGATAGACACACACATAGGTACAACACACCATTTCAGAGTGTGGAAGCTCCATTCCAATTGAAATTGATGCGGAGATTCTTAATTATCTATAGCAGTTTTCATAAGACCTATTGCTTTGGATAAATTTATGAAAGATTTGAGCATCACATTTTTCTGACAGACAAAATTTTAAATGTTCCTTGTACACTTTTTTAATTGTATCTACAGGATACAAAACCTATTAAAATTAAAATCCTCAAGCAGAGAAAGACAATCCATCCATAAAGATCAATACAACAGGAGACAGACATTTTTATAAGTCTCTATCTTTGTTTTACGAATCCCCTTTAAGAATTCTGATTTCTCAATAACTTCTTTCATTAACATGGACGAGTTACACTTTATCTGAGAAACTAATACAAGCTTAATATATTTATAATATATAATTATATATTTCTCATTTGTCAGACAATATAAAAATATTTTACTATCTTACTTTGTTAGTGAAGACTAATATCAGTTCAACAAAGGTACCATTCCATTCAGAAATAATTTTACCCAGTAATGTACAGGCATGTAGTGGAAAATGTTTTGAAGTATTCAAGTGGAAATTCTAATTGAAATGTGGATCACTGATTAAAGATCTACAACAGTGTCAATTCCACAATTATAGTAAGCTTGTATAAAATTTTCACTAACCTTGACTAAAGCAATCTTTTGGGAACTTGATGACTTTACATTTTATAGCACATCTCGTGTACTCAATTTTTCTTTTTAATTAAATTATTTTTCAGACCTAAAATATATTTTCCTAGTAAATTATAAGCCATATGGCATATTTACAAGTAAAAGTTGCTAATTTCGCCAAAACAGGACGTTTAATTTGTGAAACATTTCAAACCACCATAAAAACTTGAGCCATTTCCAAAACATCTCGCTAGAGATGTGGTGTGATAGACTAAATAAGTATTTCCATATTTTAATTGTGATTTCACTGACAATCAATTAGGGTGGAAAAAGTTCCCTTTAATATACAATATAATTTTGAAAACCTGAAATGCACAAAACTTAAGAAGTAATGTACGGGCAGATACAAATTTAGTGTTATTAAACAAGGTATACAAAATTATGAACCTCAAACCTTGCATTTTAAGAAACTTTAGCCTGTGTCTTGCAGCTTACATATGGATTCTGCAAAATACGAGGTGTAGTTTCCATAACACGCAGTAATAAGTTATCCAAATAGTCTTCCAGATCACGCATCTTTTTGTTCTGCCCTTCCACTTGAGCTTGCAAGTTGCACACCATGTCAATCAGATCCTATTATTGTAAAACATTACTCTAGTTAGCCCTCAATGTATTTAAAAAGAGATATTGCAAATAAAAATAGATATGACAAGAACCAAGAAACTGATTCAAAGCAAGGAACTACATACCTCACGTGATTTCCCTTCAAATTTATGTAAAACCTCTGCAGACAAACGACCAGTGGATGACCGTGTTGCACCATCAGTTTCTCCACCAATGATAATCCTTTCTTCAGCCAAAGCACTCTTCAATTCTGAGACAGTCTCTGGCAATTTTGTTTCTGTAGAAATGTAGCGAATGCATATTTATCAACTTCAAGTACAATTTATATTTTTTTTGTTACAATAAATTTGTCACTAAAATAATTTACAATAATTTGAAGCATACTGGCATATTCAAATGAGAAATAATAACTTAGTGCAACAAAAACATAAGTGTATAATACACAACAAACGACTTCGATTTCAATGACCTTGCTGCCAGAGTTCATGTAAACCACTTGTGTACCCACCCATTACGATGAAAAATCAAACTAAAGGGCAGAAGTGGCAAACATTCGCTTTTAAAATAGTACATTTATTTTTGTTTGTAATTTGTATGAAAAATATGCCAGCAGTATAAATACAACTGGAAACATTTAACATTGTGTCATCAGAAATGCAACTGAAATTCTACTCTCCCAATTGGTACTAATGGTCTACACCAAAAGCCATTTTGGAGCATAATTTGATTCACTGAAGATGAGTTAAAATTAAAATATAGTTAGGTTACAACATTATCTGTTGTTCTAAACTGGTGGTCCTCAGCTATTTGTCATTGCAACAGTCTTCTTTTAATCTTCTGCAGGGAAGACAGTAATTAAGGCCTCTGAATGATAGTCAAAGTTTTGGCAATTCTGGACAAGTGTGATATGATTGGGAGAACGAGAGCTTCAACTATTTCATATACAAAGCTTTCATGATCTGCAAAGTGATTTTATGGTTGAATTGAAGTGCTTGTCTCTGTACTCATGATATTGATAAAATAACAACAATAATAATAATAGTAATAATAATAATAATAATATTTATATTTTTCTTTCTTCCCTCCGAGACTTTCACCCTAGTCTTACTTTTCTAACACAATCTCGTGTCAAGATTAGGGGTAAATGATTTCCATGGGAATGCAGCAAATTCTTACTAAAATCAATAATATACTCCTTTCAATTGGGCAATATAAAGGAATTAATCACACTTAAAATCTAGGATATGATTAGCAAGATATTGGTTTGATACGAGGGGAGCAATGGTTTCAAAATGTAATGGTACAGTAATAGAGAATAGTTACCCCTATAAATAAAAAATAACTATTTGAAAACGAGTTACCAACAATTCAAAATAAAATGCAATTATTTTATGTTAATATATGAACCTAACCGGTTAATAAAAAAAATATTTGCAAGATTATTATGCAAGAAGAAACAATGAATTAATAGTAAAAGTTTTTGCAATGTGAAGCTTCTACATTACCAAAGTTTAATCTAAATAAAACAGTGAATTATTACAGTGATCAGAAAAATAATATTAAACAAACTTATAGAGACAGTACTTTTAGGCACAATATTTTACCTCTCCGAAAATTTTTGAACTTCCGAGCCAGCTTAGACATCTCTTTCTCTTTCTCCTTTTCAGGTTCTTTTTCTCTTTCCTCCAATTTTTCTTTCTCTTGTGATGCATTTACTGATTGCATCAAAGAATTCTCTTCTATGAGCTTTTTTACTGAGGATGTTGCAGGAATATTGGTAGCAGAGGTAGTTGCAGCAGAAGGAATATCAGAACCAGCTATTGCTTCAATGGTTTCTTTTTCAGACCCTTGACTGTTAAACAGTGGCTTGTTGTTTTCCCATGATCGTCTCTTCAGCGTCTCCATAGAAGCAATAGAACTCTCTGAAGGAAACACATAATAGCCTCTACAGCTTCCATTTTCTGACAGAGAAATACCACTTACTAACAGAGACCACTAGTTACATTTAATTACACATTGTTGCAATATTCGAGAACAGAAACATGGTAGATGAAAGGGGAGAGGGGAAGGAAGAAAATGGTTAATTACTTATTGAAAAGCACTTCATTTGTAGAGTAAATAATTCAAAAACTAATCTCAATTCTGTGAACATCCTGTTCTTCATTGAATCAAGTCATACTTTTATTCACTCCAATAGTTATGATGAAATGGAAATGCAAATATAGAAGTTACAACAATTTTGCTTTAAATTAAAACAGGAAAGAATAGTTCTTAAATTGTGTTACAATAATAAGTTGGAAAGAAGAATACATGCCAACTAACATAGCAGTTGCAGCAGCAATTGATCTGCAAAGAAAGAAAACTTGTGGGTTTAACCCCAAATAAAAAATGAATATTTTCGCCTTGTGATAATGGTGTGAAAGGCAATGGGAGACCACTATGTGCCCATAATACCATTCATATCATCAGCCAGTAACTCATAATTGCTTCATGGCATAAGGCCTGAAGGTGGCACAAAACTAGTCAAAGGGCTGAGAAATGATAAATGAAAAAAGGAGCAAGTTTTCTCTGTGCAGAATATGCAATTGTATAGCAGGGAAACTGTTGATAGTTGATATTCTATTACACCCAGGTCATCAATTTGAATATATTTTTTCAACTGCTCAAGAAACAAAAAGAAATAGTACTACCATCACAAAATAATCCATTGTAGAATTTAAAATGTTATTCTGATACTCAGACAAATAATATATTCCCCAAGCATTACTCATATTCACATCGCACTCGTACAAGCATTACAAGTATTCTCAAAGAAATGGATGAATGGATTTTAATTATCCTTCATACCAGGATTATAATATTTTTTAAATATCAACTTAGAAATAATTATTTACAAATAAGAAATTTTTCCCAAAAATAAACATACTCAGATTTTGCCTTTTTTTAAAAACTGTCTTCACATCAAATCTAGCTTGGGTTCACTGATTTAAAAATTAAAATATAAAATCAGCTAATTTCTCTTCATGAGTACTAATAAATGTAAGATCTGTATTAATAAATTTTGAAATTGTTAGAATTTATAAATTTTATTTTACTCCTATTATTTAATAAGAAGTTTGCATTCTGGGAAAATTCAATTTACAACATGCTCTTCTGCAAAGTGATGTGCACTGGATTCTTAATGGTAAAAGAAAATTGTGAATGATTTTAAACAGAAAATGATGCAAAAGAACTCCCAAAATGAAAACATATTGTCTTCATTTCATATTAATTCGAGTCATGACCATTCAACAGAACAGGAGATATGTCCATCAAAATAAAACCATTTGACAAGTTCAGGAACACAATTTTAAATTTAGCATTAAAATTTCAGATACTTTTGTTTTTTGATAAAAACAATAGTAATAACATGCTCATGTACACATTTCTCTCAAGCATTGCATATAAACATGCTGTGCTGTGCAAAAGCAACCAACAGTTAAAACCATTATAATTGCTTTGATTATTACTGACCTTTCCCTTGTTTACCGAACAATTTTTGCTCCCATTCATCCATATGTTTCTCATGTGAGAGGGTGTTGCGTGGAGGTTTTGCAGGTGGAATGGCTGACACAGTAGTGCGACGTAAGAATTCTCCTCCAGCTAGGTTTTCTAAAGATCCAACCACAGGTGTTGTAGTAGCATTATTGGTATTTAATGAACTTTCTGAACTCTTATGTGACAAATCATCAAACTGAAACATAAAAATATATTACTGTACATATTTAAAAATGTTCTCATACTTTTTCAAAACAGTTTCACAAAATTATTCTTTATATTAACACTTCACAATTGAAAAGTACTTAATACACTTAAAACAATAGGCAACCATAGTAAAACTCATGGAGTGGGACCCTCAATTCCACATCAGTTGAATTCCATTATACACATATTTATGACTAAGAACTGATGAGTTTCATTAAGTGATGATAATAACATTAAAATTTCTTAAGATTTTCGAGAAGAATATTGCTTGGAGTTAAAATTTTCACCTTCAAAATCATCTACAAATTTGTAAAAAATTTTACAGAAATATATAAATACAGATCAGATCACAAGTAGATCAATTACTTATGGTTTTAATAAAACAAATTTTGAAATCATTAAATCACACAAAAAATTAATAAATAAAAAATTGTTAAAATGCTGTGTTAATAGCATTTTGTGTAACTAAGAAACACCATCATTAGCATCACTGATGAAGGTAAGACAGTTCATAAGCTAACTAATCTAACTAACATGGCAAACAATTAAAAATCCCCATTGACGAAATCAAATAGAAACAATTATAAACAATAGAAATGTAATCAATCACATATAACATACCCAGGTACCTTAATAGGAAAATGGATGTTAGAGTTCATTACTTACAGTAAATTCATCCTCATCTTCACTAATAACTCCAGGATCTGCATCACCAGCAACTTGAGCTGAACGTAGGTATGATCCACTTACTCCACCTGACATTGGACGGAATTTATCTTCACTATCTTGTTCCTTATGTCCCTTTCCCATCTTATGGCCTGAAATGCATTCAACAAATTGAAAATTATCTCCCTTGGTGACAATACAAATTGTTAACATTTGTTTAATCCACTGTACATAACACTAACCAATGGACTTCGCCAGTTTCTTCAATCCCTTCCTTTTCTCAAGACTACCTATGCTCAATAAACTGCCTCCTGTAATGAAGATAATTCAATCTTCAGAAAACAATATCAATGCAAATGCAGACCAATTTACAAATATGACATCTTACCGACAGATTGGGCCATATGAGATAACTGACCCAAAGAGGATTTATGTTTTTCCTTCTTACTCAGATCGGTTAAACTTCCAGCTTTCACAGTGAATGCAATCTTCACCTCTAATTCTCCACGTGGTTTATTTTTTTCTTTCCCAGGTTTACTCTTCAACGTGTACCACCTAATATAAAAAAATATGAAACAAATTTTTAAAAGCTGCATCCATTATATTGACAATTACATGGCATATGCAGTACCTGTTTCTGGGTCTTTCATAAACATCAAATTCAGCCAGTGGCACACTGACCATTCCTAAAAATTCGTCCACTCCTATGAAATTACGATGCAGAACTGTTAATACTATTTCTGCTGTATTTCCCTGCTTTGGAATAAGTCTGAAATACAAGATGTAAACATTATCATACATTGAAATTTAATACAACACGAATTTCATGTCACGTTATTTCAACTTACAATTCACATTCCTCGCGCCATTCAACATCTTTTTCAGCTTTTTCTTTGACAGATGTCTGATATTTTTCTTTTCCAAGCCCGATAGTAACAAAAGCATCGTTTGTCCCTAGAATAATTTTCAATACAAACATAAACAAAACTAGCAAGTCAAGAATTAAGCCATGTCTGAAACGAACACATTCCATGACACAGAGCCCAACTGAGTCCTACATACGAAAGTATTCACTGTTATTACGAGAACACATACCATTTTTCCCCTTCGATATGAGACCTCTGGCTCGCTGCACTGTAACATACAAATTACGTACAGATGACACTTAGTAACCAATACTGTATGCAAATCATGGCAAATACCGTTGTGGAATCCAAGTAATAGCACATACCTGTCACTTGGACATGGGTAGGGCTCCACATTTTACACGTAAGGTGTATTTAACTGCAACTTTCACAACATAAATGACGGAACAATTAATCACTAACTAAAATCAAATAAAATCTTAATTTAAAGACAAATTATTGCGGGCGGCACCATCAGATGTTCACTTATAGTGAACACAACAGTCCATAGGCCCTCGGGCCACGGCTCGTGTCCAGTCCACAACATCCACAATGCACCTCTGCCTCCCCACCTTCCGTGCCCCGAAACGTCATCACACATCGGAATGCTTAGAACTCAGCACTGCTTAACACGCTCAACACCGAAGGTGGAAGTAGAGAGATGTCATCCGGTGGTTGCGCAAATCAGAGAATGGCGGACGTTTAAAGAATTAGGGATTTTTCAACAATTTCTCAAAGGCACTAAGTATCGTTAGAATGAGTAACTGCAAAATATAAAGTAACTATGTACAGTTTGCAATGTGCTTATTTAAATATGGTCATGCGCATTTTTTTGTAAATACAAGTAGTTTCCCCGTAATGTTTGCTTGAATAATGACAATTTATAGAAAAATGTTTCAAAACTACTCATTTTTTCTTTTATATCCTCCCCCTCGAATAGAGGAACTGGAATGCTTAAAAAATAACGCAGTCTCGCCTTCGTGGAACTCTGAATTTTCGATTGATTGATTAGTATTTCTGACCGCGTCAACTACTAGGGTCATTAACCCTGTAAGTGTAATGTGTATCGTAATCGCGGAACGTGGCGGTGACTTTTCCCGCTGGATGGTGAGATGCGGCGCCGACCTACAGGTCGGCTAGCGGGGTTTTCTCAGCCAGGAATCTCCCACCTGCAGGGCTCCACCCCAACACGGACAAGCTCTAACGACTAGATAGTCTACAACAACAACATACTCTAAATTTTGGATGATTGCATCTACTACTTGCAAACGTGTGAATTACCTGAACGAGCTATTAAGTACTTTGATGTTTATTGAGGTTATCAAGTTTTCATTCCTGCGACAGTTTTGTTACATGTTACGGACGGAGTGAGTTACAATAGCACATACTTTCTCGCGTTAGTTCTAATTTATAAGTAATTGAAAATTCAGAGTTCAACGTAAATGGAATCCACCCAATTTTTATTAGCGAACTTTTCTGCCTTGGAAAAAGAGAGAAAAAGTTGAAGCCGTCTTAGAGACATTTTTTCATACAGTTCTGTGACTTCAAGCAAAAATTACGCAAAAAATACTCATGATTGATTAGTGATTCTAGGCGCGTCAACAGATAAAGCATTAGTCCCGTAAGTTTAGTGAATGTTTTACCGCGATACTTTTTTAGGGGTGTTTTGAAACAATTAAATTAATTCATTGTTTTTCTTAATTCGTATTTATTATTTATGAATGAATTTATTAATTGTGCATTTTATTATGAATTATTTGATCATTTATTCAACCAACAAACGTAGTAAAACAGAGGGGGGTAAAGATTACGGAGCTCAATATGCACAGATTGTACTTCTCCCTTACACGTCACATAAGTTCCTGTTTTTTACATTAAATAATGATTTGTATGCAATGCAGCAATGCATTTCTCTTCGTGCAATTCGAATTCGTTAAACAGATGGTTTACAATTATGGTAACAAAACAAGGATTTCACAGGTTAAAATTACACTTGACTATTTAATAAAACAAGAAATGGGAATCGCAGCTGATCTCATAGCTAACTGCTGTCTCCACTCTCGGCTTGTGGCACATAAAGGCATTTCGAGACATCGAATAACCTATTTCTAGTGAGTGGACGCAGTCTCACAGGCGTCTTTCCGCATTTCTCGCAGCGCATCTCTCGGTGTAGTCTGACAGTGTAACTGACTTAAGAATAAATTATAGCATCCAGAGTTGTTGACAAAATCTGATAACAGAAATATTCCCTCCTATGTAATAGAAACCATCTTACATGAAAAACACGGTACAAGTTTGATACAATAGTCCTGTCGGCAAAATAATCAAACTCTCCACTCCTCTCGCATCTAGCGAAATGAGGGCTCGTGGAAAACGTGTGCGGATAATACGTTAACACAAAATCGTGCATCGAAATAGGATTTAAGTCGATCGACGAACTAGCATCATGTACCATGGACACAGTCGATACTTCGATTCTATTCTCACATCCAACTAATAATAAACTAGAATGTTTCACAGCCAATAAAAACTCTTACGTTGCTTACGTTTATGTTAGAAATTGTTAATACTTCACTCTACCACTTATGTTAATGTTTAAGTCTATGCGTTATGCTTATGTTTATTTTTGCATTGTGAATGGGCCTTTATTGGTTACATGGACATGTTTTCCATTGCTCGCAACAACGTTGTGGGCATTTTGGATTTGCCTGAACTCGTATGTTTACATGTAAAATTGTTAGGGATAAACTTACTTTTGCTCCTCCACATCAGAAAAGAAGATGCAGCTAACGGTCATTAGCATTACTGCAACGCTAACTCAATTTTTTTTTTCCAGTGGACATGTTTGTTTTTGCATGAACGCTCCTCAATTGATGCTCTCAGTACCTAAACCGTTACGAAAGCTACTCGTATTTTCAAAAAATTGTGCAAGACCTTATTTCAACATATATTTTGTAGAACACATTTCATTAATATTCAGTCATACTTACTGCAGTTTTGCAACATTAATTTTCTGCAATTTAAAAAAAAACAACTGAAAATTAGACCTGGATCATTTTTATAAGCGTTCTTTGGTCTATTCGAGAAACCTTGTTATATAAAATAATTGTTTAAAAATTTAATGGAAATTTGCTCGAAAACTAAATTTACATTTTTAAAGAAAAAACTGCCGCGACCTTATATAATGACGTCTTTGAAGCACAGATTTCGTCGAAGAAAAAAAATTCTCTTTAATATGAAGTTGGAAGAATATGCCGAAAACTTTAAGAACTTTTACGATTTTTGAAAAATCAGAGTTCAACGTAGCAACATTCAACGCTGCGGCGGCGATGGTGCAACGGTTAGCGTACTGGATTGTTGTACCCCAATTTGGCGGGTTCAAAGCCGATCGAAGCGTGGATTTTTAAGGGGGAAAAATCCTTCATACGCAGGGGAAGTAAAGCCGGCTGTCCGATGTTCGTAGATTTACTTACATGTAAAAGATCCTCAAACCTAAATGACGCCTCTGACACTGTCTGAGCTAAATTCAAATCGCCTGTTTCTCACCCAAGAAATACCTCATTTCTCTCCTAGTTGGTGAAAGGAGCGTAGCGAAAATTGCGTGGTCAGACGGAAGAGCGGGCCTGATGGCCCGAGTCTCGCCACGTAAAATAAGGCAAATTCAATTCAATTCAACGTAATTGAGTCCTGTGTCATATTTTAAAGTTCTTTGCACTACCCTAGAAAAAAATCCAAAATTTGTAGCAATTTTTAAGAAATTTTTGAAAATGTAATGTTAATTTGAAAATATTATGGTAATTATGTAAAGTATTCCACCCAATCATACTATTCTTTTCAAATTCATGGGGTCTCGTATTCGGCCAGATTTATCGGGGAATATCTATTGTAGAGAAAATCATCTGAACGGTTTAGGCGCTAGCGTTGACCACGGATACGTAGACAGACGGATATACAGACTTATTGCTCTATACCAATTTTTCGGGATCAACCCCCCCCCCCAAATTTATTCTGAATACACATCGTATTATAGAAAGTAATTAATTATATTGAACAATATTTATCCACTTTTTCGATAAAAGGGACCCATAATACGACGAAAGTTTTTTGACGAAAAATCACTTTCCGCTTCTATGCTATGTAAGTCTGGGGCGGATCCAGCCGATCATTTTGGAGGTGGCATCATAGATTTTTGTTAAATAATAAACATTTTTATTATATTATGTATATAAAAGACAATTTTTGTTTGTTGGTTGGTTGCTTGCTTCATACTTAATGCGCTGTCGTACCGATCACCCGATTGCGATAAAACTTTGTCAATTTATTGCTTGCACTTCTAGGAAGAATTTAAGCATAGTAATATAAGAACATGCATATGCCTGCGCACATAGGCCGCACCTTGATGATTATTTTGTGCTGACTCAAGCACCCTGAATAGGGCGCTCTACGCAACGGCGCTTGATGTAACTCGTTGCACACTGAAGTACGATTATTCAGACGCATTCATTGCGTATTATGCCCCTGCGATTGTGAAATTTCTCCCGAGAAAGATACAGGAGAGACAGAAGAAAACAGAGACGCAGAGACAGAGAGAAACAACCAGAAACAGAGGGTCAGAGAAAGACAAAGAGACACAGAGACAAAGAGGGACGGACAGACGCAACTAAACTCGCGAGAAAATATTTCGGCTATTGAATTTTTTGCACAGCGTAGAGTAAAACGTGACTAACACACACGTGACCAGTAGCATGTAAATGTAATACATTCCAAAAGCGAGGCATTGTCGGGTCAACTAGCATTGAATATCATTTTTGTAGTGTATACATGATACTATACAATATTGTCTAAATATTTACATAATTCTAATAAAATAAGTATTGTAAAACAAAATTGTGAAAAAATATTTTTTCTATTTATTCAAAAGAATGATACATTATAGAAGATCCCTGAAAGTACGAAGCACAAACACCCGTACAAAAGTCGTGCAAATGGACTACAAAGGCCCTTGAGAGAAGTCCTTGCGACCATAACTCGGGGGGGGGGGGGTCCCTGAAAGCTGTCCTGATTAATCAGTCATTGATTTCTCGCTATACAAGGAAACAGTTTGTCGTTTAATAAGTTTAAATTTTACATAGTTCATCAGTATTCACTTAACACATCCCTTTACATTGCTACAGCACTACATTGCTGTAGTGCGTATTACTTGCTAATGGCAAACATTTCGATCCTTTCTTCTGCATCTTATACTGAGGATGAAACGGCAACTAATTCGGCCCGTGCGTGTAAGAAATGTAGCGTTCCTGAAATGTTATCTTTCTTATTCGCATCACAAACTTCATCCAGCACAATAACATGTTCTGTTCATTAGTGGTAATACTTTTACACTACAAAGTGATCAATCAACTTTTTCTGTTATTTTTGGAATGCTACTGTAAATTGAAACTTCGATTTAGGAGCTTTTATTACGTAGGTCGCATTTTCGACACTCAGGACCACCGCTCAATGAAAACTTTACATCTTCCTTCTTTAGTGAATAATTATGGTGAAAAGTTATCTAAAAACTATTGATAAGCTCAATGACTGAAATGCCAATTCAAGTGAATCATGTAGTATTCTCATCTTATCTATAGAGAAGAGGTAATTTCCTGCTATCGCTCGTGTTTACGAGAACGCCGGTAATGCGCCTTGATATCTTGGCCCTCAAACAAATCGTACATTGCTCAGTGATGAATAAATTCAGAAATACCTCAATAACGTTGAATTCAAACTTATTATTATAGATTTTCGGGTAATCTGAATGATAAGCCAAAAGTCAACATTTGCGGCTGATGATCGCCTAGTGGTGCTACACAATGGCAGAAA